TGCATTATACAAAGTCCTATGGTCTGCAGCTTTCCCATTGCTTCTTTTCCACAGTTTCAGCATATAAAATCCCCTTTTAGGCAAATTCTGATGTGTCTTTTCAATTTCTTCTATGTCATCTTCCTCAATTTCAGGTAGTCGACGTGTCAGTTAATCCCACCCGCCACCAACAGCTTTGTCAAGTGTTTGATGGTCTTCACAAGTTATCACTCCCTCTTGAATATAAAATAAAAAATAGAGAGTTAATTATTTTAAGATTACCAGCTCACTCGTTTCTTACTGTGACTCAGTAACAATTTTAAAACCATTCATTGCAAGTAACATTTTTTTTTTTTTTGGGTGGGGAGGGGGGAGAAGAAAGGCTTTTTTCTGTCATGCCGGAAATTTTCTATCAGTTATTGTGGAGGCAGGGTGGCCAAGTGGTTTGGATACCGCATTTGAAGTCTGGTGGTCCTGGGAACAAGCCGTCCTTAGCTGTTAGCCAACTGCGGCCTGCCTCCGGCCAGTTGGGTTTTTACACTCCGTGATTATTTACAATGTTTGGGAACGGATTGTTCGTATTGCTACGTAGGCGTGTTTAATATTAGCTAAAAAGTCTTGTTGTACAATGTTGTAAGACTATTGATAAAAGGATGTAAACCAAGGTTAAATTAATCACTAGATTCTGAAGATTAATAACTAACTGGAAATTTTATTGGTAACTACATGCAGCAAAGTTATCTCTACTTTACACCTATAAAGTGTATACATATAGTGTTGATATATTGCATTATGTAAATGTCTGTAAACATTCATAGAGCACATGTCACACCAGCTCTTGGATGCCACTTTTTTTCTGATTTCTGAATTTCTTCAGCAAATAAAATTTTCTTGGTCTTTCCCATCCTAGGTTTTTTGTTGAAAATACAACATTGTACCCTATGGAAAACCATGTTCTCAAAAAATATAGCTCCTACCTATCAAATAACTATTTTTTTCTTTTTACTTACATTGGAGGTCAATACATTGTGATGATGGATAAATGTCAACACTAACAAATAAAATAAAATAACACAGCTGACAAGAACTCTTAATTATACTGAATCTCTCTACTCTCATGGCAGAACCACCAGTACTTGGTCTGGCACCATTATCTGCATCTCTTTCGGCTTGACTGGCCATATTTAAACACCACTTACTCTGCCAAACACAAATATCAATTTAGATTAGATTTTAATGAGCGTCACAGGCTACCCTATGGGCAGTGCTCATGTTACAAGGGTGCCTCGTGTTAGTCTTTGTAAGTGTTTTGGGGAAAAAAATGTTTACATTGCAGCTTCCAAATAAATATGATTTTATTCAAAAACAGTCACTGCCCATCCATACTCCATTATCCTCTGTCAAATCATGATGTTGGTACAAGAACAATGAAAAAATCAAGAATTTGTCTCCTTCTGTTAGATATCTACAATCTTGTATGATTCCACTGCAGTGGCAGACAAGTCATAGGTCTATATGTGGCTCCCACAAGAGCAGTCATACTAGTTAAGAAACTTCAGAGCTGAAGGGTTGTGGTTCCTTTTCAAGGGTGGCGAAAGGAACCTTTGAAAAACAGTAGGCCCGCCATTTTTGAATCGGAACTCGTTAGCCTTTGTGGTGAGTCCCAAATTGTCACTTTTCCTTGTGATCTAGGATTTATACTTACAGCAGGGGTCCTCGTTCTAAGGGGAGAAGCTTATTAGAGTTAAGATGTTAACGAGGAGAATTTAATATATGATCCCTGAAGTTTAGAAATAAGAAAAAAATACGGTGTATATGCAGACGCATCGTTAACATAAACGCAAAAAAGAGTACATCGTCTCAACTCTAACGCAATATTGTCTTGTCATTAACAGTACTTAGCCATTATCTGAGTCTAGCGACGGCTTAATGGTCGGTTGTTGCTTAGGGTAAATAGTTTGTTCTCGGTCTCGCAATTCAAGTCAGTGGCCTCAGCGTCTACCGAGTCTTTACTTCAGATCGATGTCTTTGTACCTTAAATACCGTTATTGGAAGCATTTAAGCGTCTGACACTAGGAGCCTAAGTTGTTACTAGTGTGTAAATTAAATTTCACCTACAGTTGTATATTTAAGAAACAATTTCCAAAGGCGGAAGTAAAATTCACAGCACTAAGGAGTTATCGTGCCGGAAAAAGAGAGTTGGGCGACACATTTAAACTAAAAAGGTTGAACTTAATTACTTTTAGCCTTTCTTTTGCCAATAAAACTTCTCAAACGGAATTGTTGCTGTTTGTTATCTTAATTGTTGTCGAACAATTCCTCGAAACGTGACTGGATTAATTCACACCTGTTCATTCCATTGACCAGCGCAATCAACAGAGTGAAGGCGGCAATTAAAAGACATGACTATCGTGGATACGTTACAAGGCTAGTAAACTATTTACTTCACTCAAAAGTAAAAAGTTCGCGTATTGAATGGCAAATCCAGCTCCAAGAAATTACTTGATCTTCGGCGTCGTATAGGCAGCGGAACAATCGCTTATTGGCACATTAATCCCATGAAACACAGCGCCATCAATGTAAAAATAAATTAAGAAAAAAACCGCGGTGAATTTTTGCCCGAGATACGAGTGGATCCTCTCCAAAGTGGTACCTTATCGAAACTGAGAATTTTAAAAATGTTAAAACAGCATCCTAGTAATAATTCTCATGAATTATATAAATTTAATCTGAGAAAACCAAAGACAATTTGTGTATTTGGGGAAAGTCCAAGATTCACTTAGGACTCGGGTAGATGTTCGCCGAAGGCAGACCATCCTCGGAGGACAGAGGGGCATGCCCCCTACCCAGAAAATTTTAATATTAAGGTCCTCAGAAAGGTGATTGCAGCATTTCAAGGGATAACTGTAAGTTCTTTTTTCTTTTTTCTTCTTCTTTTTTTTTTTCATGTCTTTGAAACAGTCTCTGCTTTTTAACATGTACCAGGAGCTCCTGTATGTACTGGGCCTAAATATTTCACAATTCTAATTTGAATAAATTTCATTTGACCTGTGGATGAAAATCAAGCAAAGCAGTGATCCTCACAGATGCGCTGATGTTTAAACAATTGCTGAAAAAAGCCTGAAAGAAATTCAGGCTTCGACGGAATTTTAACAGTGTCTCCTTTCCTGTTTGCACGTGCGCAACCGCGTAGTTACACAGCTTACTTAAAATGAGAAGAGCGATAATTGTAAAAGGCAATACTACCATAAATCATGTAACTACACTTATTTCTTTACAATAATTTCTTAATCAAAATGGTCTGTCTTCTTTCAATCCGACAATATCGTTTTTATAGGGAAGAGTGAACTATAGGCCGCAAGGGGCCTGAAGTTTAGCGGCTCCGCAGCCGTAGTAGGGCTCCTGATGGCTCCCATTCCATTCCGGTCTTGCCCAAAAGCGGACAAATATGGGGTCTCTAATTGGCCACAACATAGGCTAAAATACGGGAAAAGATTCAGAAAAGCCAGCTGCACATACCCAGCAGAAAATGACCCGTGTACCCCCTTCCGGGGGTTTCCATATGGATTAAAAAATTACTTTGTACTATTTCAAAAACGAGTGCGAGGGTGTCATCAGGTTTCCAAACGCGAGAAAACATTTGAAACCACAAGGCCGCAGGCCGAGTAGTGTTAATGTTTTCGAGCGTCTGGAAACTTGATGAAACCCGAAGCACGAGTTTTTGAAATGACTTCTCCAAAGAAACAATACTAAATTATTCAGTGTTGTCTTTTTCCCATTTTTCTTTAAAATGCCTTGTACGTGTGATTTGTTGCCTTCAGTCGGCATTCATTGTATTTGTGAGCTTTTGTTTTTAATTATCCAATAGTTTCGCGTTGCACCAAATTTGTATTCCAAAAGCGTTGTGAACTTGAAGTGATTTACATATTGTTTTTGCCATGGCCGAAGGAAGGTTTCGCTTCCCGAAAACAATCGAGGAAGAAGAACTTTGCGTAGAGAGAGCAGTACCGAATTCTACCAGATATAAAAATAAGAGGGCAGTAGGCATTTTTGAGGATTGGCAACGAGTGCGAAGCGTCAAGTTTCCAATAGTCGAAGTCGGTGGAGTTTTTTAAGAGTATGAATTAGACAAAGTTCAGTCGCTTACTCAGCCATAACAGTGATGGACGCATTGACGCTCAACTATTGGTTATCCAAATTTGTTCAAGAGGTGGCAAAGTGTTCCAAAGATCCATACCCTCCAAAAACGTTGTACCAGATTGTCATGCAGCATTCGCCGATTCATGTTGGAAAAGAACCCAGCCATCGAGTTCAATCCCTTGGAATATTCAGACATAAGGTGCGTCAATCGGCGTTATCGGAGAGGGGCCGTTGGATATTTTAAAACCTAAGGAAATTGTATCGAGCTTTTCTCTTTTCCTCTTTAGATTTGCTATCTTTAAACGAATATTGGACGCAGAAATGAAGGATGGAACTCGAGCTAGCATTGGTTTGAAAGCGAAACAAAAAGAAAAAGAGCCAGTCACTGATGAAGAAGAAAGGCAGCTATGGCAAAGCGGAGTATTTGGAATGGAGACGGCCGAGTCTTTGTCAAATGTTACATATTACTATAGTGGCAAACTATTTGGTGGCCGTGGGGGGGAGCATGGGCGAATCTGCTTGAAGAATTTTGAAATAGGTGATAATTACATCCGTTTTGAAGAAAATGCGTCCAAACCTTTCATGGAGGCTTGCTTGATTTGAAATATGAACCGCGCCACGTGAGGCATATTTGCCATTCTGTAGATGAACATCACGAGCCTTGTTTTATTGAATATTACTGCCTTTATATTGGTCGTGCAAATTTGCGCGAAGGAAGTTAATGCATTCTATTTCAGGCCTAACGCGAAAAGAAAGACTAATTACCTGTGGGCATTAAAACGCTTCATCGTTTATTGCCCGATATGTGCGAGGCTGCCGGAAGAAAGCGAAAAACTGCGCACTGTTACACGCGTAACGTGTGCGTCAAGTTTAATGCTGGTGTTGACAGGAAGCTAATTCAGGATAGATCGGATGCTTTGATGAAGTATGAGAAAGCTAATGAAAAGGTCCAGACTAAAGTATCAGCAATATTAGGTCCTAAGTTGGAATCATCGACAGTAAGTGCGACAATTAGTGTCGATTCTAGCAGTGAGTCCGTGTCACGGAAGGTAGAAAAAGTTTCTCAGAATGTGGATATGGATACTATGCCGATCTGTTTCGGTGACTTTAAGAAATGTACTGTTCCTATTTAAATTCACGACTCATACACAAGAGTGGGTGTGCGGCTCGAACTAGGATCCCGAGAACTTAATACCGTCCGACAAAGCTGCACAGAATAGTAAAAAACTAGTCATCACCTCTCGGGCTAAAACGCTTTTGTGTCGCCGCCTGATACGAAAACCCCAAAAATCAGAAATCAGATACTCACAAAATTAAGATTAAATTAATATAAGAATTAGTACATACAAAATATACAATCTGACGTTAGGGGCACATTTTTCGGTTATTGTTTCTCATAGCAAAATTCCTCCGCTAAATCTCGTCGATTCACAAGCCTATCCAGTAAGGCATGACCCAAAATTTCGTACGTTGCGGCTGACCCGTTTACCTCCTTCCAATGCATGAGCATTTTATATCCCTTTTCAGAGAGAGCCTCGTTTAATTTGTTCAGATCATCAAGCTTTGGTTCTGGGATTTTCAAGCGGCGCCCAAGCTTTTTCCAAAGATCACCAAGCTTTGAGGCAAGATATTCCAGTTCATCGTCACTGGGTGTACCTTGTTTGACTACAAAGACAAATTAATTGTTAATGAGAAGCATAAATAAAGAGCAACTGTTAGTTGACTTAGGACGGAAAATCAAGTAAAACAATTTAAGATAATTTCTCAGTTGTCAATAACTCATGACAAAAGTATACAGCACGATTTATGGTCACATCATAGGTTGAATATACGTTCAGTATCAAGTTGTAACGATCGTAGTCTTAGGAAATGTTGGTCAACCAATAAAATTTCTTACCACGTGGATTGCATTGATCTTCATTATCTTTTTCCTCCTTCTCTACATCAGCAACTAATTGAGGGTTGGGAAAAAAAAAAACATTCAAATCTTCTGCACCTGCATTGACTAAAACCAGTTGGGCATAAGATTAATATAAAATTCAAATTTTAAATATCTTTAAATGAAAAAGTTGCTCACTGAATAAATACTTCCTAAAACCCACTTTTAACAATTACTTGAAGAACAGTATTTTTATTCCCTGGTAGCTCTAATCAATAGAGGTACCATAGAGGTACCATGTAGTCAATAAGGCTTCTACACGCAGAGCTTTCAACTCTTACACATTGAGCATGATACTCAAGCAAAAAAATTCAAACTTGCCTCTCATGCTGAAACTAAAAATTTATTGCGCATTCAAGGTTCTGATGTAAACTGTTGATTTTGAGATACCAGGGTGCCAAGTGACAAATGATACTTATAAAATAGGAATGAAAGTGGCCAAAAAATAGGAAATAAATAGGAATTCTCACCCCAAAATAGGAAAAAAATAGGAGGATTTCTTTGAGTTCTATCCTCTTAACACTCCCAACAGCAACTCTGTTCCACAACCCAGTGCTTTAATATTTAACAGGCACCATGGCATACATCCACAATGCATTGCCATATAAACAAAAACAAGTGTTACCACCTATGTTACCAAGCACAACTCATCCTACAATAATCACCAGATTCCAAATTTCATTAGGTAGATCACAAGATGCCTTTAATTTAAGTCATTAGTCCTTTAAAACTGTGAGAACGATAAGCAACAATATTTTTTTTGACAAATCGAAACAATATCAAGTTCACTGTCACCAAATGTACGTCTTCCTCACAATAGAAGCCAACCACGACTTTTGAACATCAACAACCAAAAAGTCCAACACTACCAGTATACTGTTTTCGCTCTTTTAGCAGATTGGGTAACCTTAGCTTTGCTCCTTTTTTTGGCCGCATTTGCTGTTGAGGAGATGGCCTTTTCTAACAGTTTCTACTGTTTGTCAGTCAACAGTTTTCCCTTTTGTCCTACGAGTTTCAGAAGAAAATCACTCAGAAAGGCCTCAAACTGGTCTTTTTTGACATGAAGTTTCAGTTTTTTGTAGAATTTATCAATTTTATTGGCAATTTTATTTCAAATATTTCAAAGTGTTTCTGTGTACCCAGTAAAACCCTAAAAAAAGGAAAAACTAGGAGTTTCTAGAAAAAGTAGGAGAAAATAGGAGGCAGGCCAAAAAATAGGAAAAAATAGGAAAAAATACAAACTTGACACCCTGAGATACCAAACACTTACTTTAGTTATTAACGCTTTCACTCCCAGATCTCATGAGTAACTCTCCTCAGAGTCTGCCATCTAGATCACCTGATAATTGCCTGGGATCACATGGTTTTCAGTTTCAGTTGCATGGTTTGGGATCACATGGTTTTCAGGGGAAACTGAGGGGGAATCAGTTGTCATCAACAGAGTACAGAGGGGGGTTTTATAGAAAATTGACTCCCGATAAACTACCATTGAGGGGGGAGGAAATTATAAATATATTACAGAACCTTTAGGGGGGATCAGGTTCATTTTATCCTGACTTGACCAAAATCCTCAACCCTCCCCCCATAGATAGCGACTGGTCCCCTATCAAAATAAGTGTCAATCAAAACTGCATCCTGCTACCTGGCTTAGTGATCTACTAGTTGCAAAAAAAAAGGAATACAATGCGTGGTATTATGATCACCTCCTCCCACCCCTTTTTTCTAATCAAGTGATTGTCAAGATCCACTCACCCAGTGCAGGTCTTTCCTCAGGTGCCACTCTTTGACCACAGGAACCTGCGACATAATCATAAGAAATCATGATTTAAAAAAAAACTCATCTTACTCATCTGCTCGATGTCAAATGGTATTTCAGGCGTGAAGATACTAAAAACTAAAAGAACCAGTATTCTGACCGATTTCATTCTCGAGATTTTAGAATCTAGCATTTACGCTTGAATAATCCACGATTCATCTAATAAAGTTTAAGATACAAAGTAAGCTACTGTACTAATAATAAGTGTTGGTTTAGGTCATGAATTACCGGTAAATTGGAGTGTTGTAAAGTTAATTGTCCTAAGACCAAAAACCAAAGTTATCACAACGGGCATTCAGAAGAAAGGAAAATACCTTTGAGAGCCAATGAGAGGTCAAAGTAAAACCCAACCAAACAACCTAAAGCGCGGGGAAACGTGGGTAACTGAGTTGTTTTGCATCTGATTGTTTGAGAGAGAGGTGCCAGTTTCCTGGACTAATCAAAGAGCCAAGTAAAGTAAAGCCAATAAAATCTCGGATTACTTTCGACACTCAATTGAATATTCCCCTTAAAGGAACATTTACTAAACGATGCTATCTGTACCACAGATGCTGGTCGAGTCTTTAAGATTGGCACTTCACAGAGAAGTTTTTGTTGCTCTTCGCCTTTCGAGAACTTCACTGTTGGAGCACTTTTACTGTCCAAGCGAACATGCAAAGCCATGTTACTGTTGTCAGATATATCATCTCCAAGAAACCTGAAAAATGGAAACCAAATAATTGTTTCTAGCTAGATTGTGTGGGTTTCATTTTATCTCTACTTCTCTACTTCATACTGGCCGCCAACCAACCCTCACCCCAACTCATATTCAACCCGATGAATGTGGAACTTTTAACCCTGCTACCGAGATGTGACCTGTACAAATACTAATTAATAAAGAAGTTATTATGCATTATTCAAAGTTTAAATATATATCTAATTAACTTTCTAACAAGATAATTGAATAAATAAATAATAAAAATATTATAAGCGTCATTAGCCTATAGAAGCAATTTATAAAAATGTACAAAACCTGCCAGGTTTTGTTTTTGTTTCCTTTAAACCCCTTTACTCCCAGAAGTGATTAACAAGTCACCTCTCCCCGTAATATCCACATATTATCCAACAATCAGGTAATGAGAATACTTAAACTTACCGGGTAGAAGTTGTAATCTTCGTCAAACACTAAATTCTCGTTATTAATTTACAAGGAAATCTGTTGCAGCAAGAGGGGAGAATTAACAGTTGGATCTTGGGAGTAAGAGTATCAAAAGGTAATTTGGAAGTCAAGACTCTTAGCCGTACTATGCTGTATCATGAAAAACTTTTCAAAGGAAATCAATAACTTACCTGAGAACTACCTTTTCATTCCTTTGAGACTCCCTCACAAAATCAAGCGCTATTGGGGAAACCACAATTCCATCCCCGACACAAGCAGGCTCCTTTGACTTTCCTTCACCTTGGTAAGGTATGTCATATCCTAACAATTTCTTTTCCACGTCGGCTTTTTTAAAGTTTGGATAACAGTACAGTAAAAGGCTGTAAGTATCAGGACATGGTGTATTAGATAAACAAGCGAGAAAATGTACACATTGAGGCATGGATCTGAAGAAAAGACGACGAAAAAAATCTTGTAAAAGAGCAACAGACTCAGTGAACATGCAGACTGGACAGAAACTGCAAAACAAAAAGTAAAAACATGAATAAACTCCAACATCTTACTCAAAAATGATCCTTAGTGTTTGAAAACCTGGAAGGCTGTTTCACTCAGAGACACGTCCATCTCGAGAGAGCCTGCTTGCAGGTTCAACAGACGGTGGTAAATGGTCTTTAGGGTGGCGGTAGACTACCGTTAAGGGGATTTTTTTTTATTGGAAACCCTGGTTAATAGCCTTTATTCAAGAAGACTAGCTAGTCTAATTATTTCCCGATGACATCGAAAAGGTACCATACGCTTCTCAAATTTTCTCAATACGCTCTGGAGAAAAAAACACTAGGAGTGCCCCCAACCAGAGTGTCATGTAACTAGGGGCTGAAAACCAGGCCCATATGACAAACATCCTATCAATGGAATGAAAAAATAAATATGAAATCTCTTCCCATGGAACTAAACCAAAGCCTTTGCATAACTCACCGACTGAAATGCTTCACTTTGAATTCTACAATTCCATCTTTAACAGCAACTGGCCCTTCTAGTTGACCTGTGATATCTCTCCATTGTTTGCCCTCTGAGTCGAGGTATGATATCCTTATGACCTCATTTGAAAGCTCTGATAAGTCATGCTTACTTTCACGAAGGGCGAGGGGAACCTTGATAGTCACAGGCTCCATATGTTCAATGTTCTGAGAGCTTGAAATGTGAATGACAGGACCACACAATATCCCAATGTCTTCAACCTCATTGCTTGGAAATTCTTGTACCTTAGATGAAAAATCAGAATAGGTGTTGACTTTTGGTGAATTACATACACATAAAACACTATTCTTTCTGAGATCAGGATAGATCATAAATTTTCAGATTGTCCTTGAGTAAAAGATCATCCTTTAAAAAGTTACTTCTGTGGACGCATATTTTAAGGAGTAAACGTAACAGAGATAATTATTTAACAAGCACATGCACACACGTCCTAAAGTCATTTGCCTCTGAATTGGGACAAAAGAAAAATCTTATTCTAATTTTGCAAATCTTGGGACCAACATTTTTACTTTAAGTTCGACTTTTTAGCGTGAATTTGAGCCAAGGGAAAGTAAACTTAGTTTGAGTTAACAGGCAGTTTTAGTAAACCAAGTTTGAGCCAGCTAATAGTAAATGACTGGAAAAAACAAGCTTAACATCCAAGCGTTAGCGGGGGGTTTCGAGTTAATCAAGCGAGTTAATGGGGTTTTCCTGTACCTTAATTGTCAAAGTAAAATCCTGATCAGCCGGTACAGAACCGAAAGGAACTTCAACACGTATGTCTGGAAAGTCAGGTACTACACATATGAATTGAGGAACCACTAAAGTACCACTTGTGAATGTGAAGGACTTAAGGCGCCAAACGGCAGCAAAGGAAGAAAATCGTGACGGGGTGCATGTAGCTTCAACAAGCTGAGGCCAGTCAGAAACTTCTGGTTTTTCTACACATAAATGTTAAATTTTAGTTTAAGATTTTGAGCTGTTTTCTTAACCCTTTACACCTTAACATCAGTATGCATATTCTCCATACTGTTCTCAATACATTTTCTAAGGTGCTGAAAAGGAGAATTTGTTGAACAATCAAGAGCTTCTTTAGCTGGTGATCATATCCTTTATTCTTGTAACCTTGATGTTTGATTCAGGGGTGATATTGTAAGGAGAAATTAAATGCTAATCACTCTTAGGGGTCAAAGGGTTAATAGGTACCAAAAAAATGAAAACTGTGTCACTTCTATGATGCTGAAAAAGGATAGACTAAGGTGGAAAAAATGATTGTGAAGTCTAATTTTCTGGCTAAAGGACTGCTGTAGGTGGTAAATGACTGATGTTTCAGCAACCTTTGGAGAAGTCATCAATT